GCCGGCCCGTGATACTCACCCGCACGACCACCACCTGCACGGAGACGTGCTCGGGGAGGCGGATCGGCGCCCGGAAGTGCGTGGCCAGTGACACGAGCAGGTGCAGGATGGCCACCAGGTTCTTCCCGTGAATGGCTTGGGGGGAGGGGGAGAGGGGCCGCTTTAGATGGTTATACAGGAACCCAAGCCCGTGTCCGAGAGGCAACATAACCGAGACCTCAGACCAGAGAAAATCCTCGGAAACCCGCAGGCCGTGGGAGAATGGAGGGCGCGCACAGCTCCCATGTGAGCCTCCTCCTAGCTCCTGAGTGTTTTCTCTCCTGTCGGCCTAAGGTGAGTTGCGTAACCGCTTTGAAAAGCCCGATGCTTCGGATGTTTTAAATGCAGAGCTGGATTCTTCAAGGGAGAGAGCTGGGCGGCGGTGAGATGAAGTAGCGAGAGAGGAAAATTAGCACAGGAGACGGGAAAAGATCTCGGAGAGCAGTTACCTGCCACAGCGATGAGCACTATTATCTCTGCAGCCGGCCGTCTCCGCCAGGGCAGGTTATTAAGGGCAATGCCACTTTGGGGACGGAAGCTGAGACTCCCGCCTGCCAGGTCCCCGTGCCCTCGTCAGCCCTACTCGCTCCTCTCCAGCGTGGGGAGCAGGTGCAGCCACTGCCGCCACTCTGCACAGGGCCTTACCATGTACCAGGCGCTCGGCGCCTCATCCGCGAGGGCAGCTGGGCTCTGTCCAAGGTCTCCATGCCAAGAAACCAGGGACAAATCTCACCGCAGCCCCAGGGAGAGCGCCCAGGCCTCACCCTACTGCTCTGCCTGCCCTGCCCTGAGGGGGGTGGGGAAGAAGCCAGGACAAGAACATCCGGCCTCTGGTCTGCTTCTTCACCTGTCCCGTCTGTCTCGGCTGGAGGAACTGTGAGGTCGCCTATTCCTGATGCCAGCTCTGAGACACAGCCTGGGCTGGCGTGACCCTCCTGGGGACCTGCTCTGGGGGTCAAAGTGAGCTCACCTGGCGGGGGTGCCTTGGGCATCTGGGGCTGGGTCCCCTGCAAGGCCCCCCTACCCACCCCCTCCCATGGCTTCTGTCTTATAACCTGAACTCCCATCTGTGGGAGCCATGCCAGAGTCGCCGGATAGGCACGGCTAATGAGAGCGTGCAGCCTTGCTGATAGTACGCCGGATGGCCCAGGCCACTCTGAGCATGGGAATCTTAATCAGAACGTCCAGGGACTGCATGCGAGGGCACAGCAAGGTCACTGCTTGGAAAGAAGCCTCTTTGGTCTAAACAGTAGCAAACACGCTCACCAGCCTGTGTGCTGGGGGGAGGCTGGGAGAGGCTGGGAGAGGCGGGCGAGGCTGGAGAGGCACCTGAGGCTGCAGCTCCAAGGGAGAGCACAGGGGCCACTGCTGTGGGAGGGGGCGGGGCCAGAGGCAGCGTGCAGTGTGCAGTGGCAGCTCCTCAGATAACGGCTGTGGGGACAGAGGCCACTGCTGCTTTATGGGAAAGATGTGCTCGTTTATCAGCCGGCGTGCGGCTGCCCGTATGGGACTTCGCTGCGAAGAACTGTCTTGTCTAATGGCTTATGAGCGCTGGCTCCTACGATAAAAACTCATTTCTCTACACCCACCACGTCTCATGGCTTCTCCGTCTGCCACCCAGCGTCCCAAGAAGGTCCAGCCCTGGGCAGAGTCAGTGCGGTGGGCAGGGTTCGAGAAGGAGCCTGCCCTGACACTCGGCGCGGCGTTAGCCGGATTCAGAAGATACGGACGGAGAACAGCTGTGCTCCTGCTGCTCTGGCACCATCCTTCCTCTGCGGTCCCCCGATGTCCCCACCAGAAACACCCCCACTCTATTCTGAAGTTAGGGGGGAGGGGCACAGAGAATGGGGGTGCGACTGAGTCCCTTGTGCCTGAGCTCCTGGGCATGGGGACGCTGGCTTCCTCCTCTCCTAGCCCCCTGGCCTGAGCAGGAGTGTGAACCGGTGTGTTCATTCCCCCTGCACGCGCCCCTCCCCCTGCACGCGCCCCTCCCCCTGCAGACACCCCTCCCCCTGCACATGCCCCTCCCCCTGCAGGCGCCCCTCCCAAGGCAGGCAGTGCTCACCGTCCACCGTCCAGGGCAGCGCCCAGCCGTGGGGCCGCAGCAGCTCCTGCACAGCCTCCAGCACCGTCTGCAGCTTCTGCTTCTGCCCGATCTCCGACTGCGTCACCTCGGCCACGTTCAGCTTGCAGCCCGCCAGCGTTTCTACAGCGAGGACAGAGCAGAGGGCAGAGTCAGGCAGAGCCGCAGGGTCGGCTGCCTGCTCAGTGGCTCACGAGGAGGCCCCCTCCCCATGGGGTCCGGGTCCGAGGTGGAGCCGGTCACCTGCAACAGCGGGGGCTTGGGGGATGGGGAGCCACAGAACCCCGGACTCCCAGCCACTCAGGCTCCTTAGATCACTGCTCCGGAATGGAGGGGGCGGGGGGTGCGAGGGGAAAGCCGTGCCCGCCCCCCTTGGGGACAGTCTTTGCACATTAGATGGACAAATGGTTCAAGGCGCAGTGGGCAGGCGAGGAGCCACCTGCAGGGATGGACGGGAGCTGCGGAGGCTGGGCCAGGACTTCCCGGCGGGAAGAGGACGTTGGTGCGAAGATAAAGGGCCTGACAGGCCACCTCTGCTCCCTGCACCCGCGGTCCCACTCTTGTTCCTCCCTCTGGACCCCACAGTCAGGACCCTGCGACCATCCCGTCTCCCGGGGGAGCAGGGGGCAGTCCGAGGACCCAACACGACCTGTCACCTTCGCTCAAGGCAGCTTCGTGACTACGGCCCGCCGGCCCCCGACACGACCTGTCACCTCTGCTCGAG